GACCTTCTGCTTGCCCTTGCCGCCGGCGTTCTTGCCTTTAGTGCTGGCCTGTGTGCCGGCCTGGGTGCCGGCCTTGGTGCTCGCCTTGGTGCCGGCCTTGGTGCCGGCCTTGTTGCCGGCCTTGGTGCCGGCGTTCTTCTTGTCGGCTTTGGCCGTCTTGCCAGCAGCGCCAGGGCCCTTCTTGTTCGGCGGCTCGCCGTCGTTGTCGCTATCGGCAACGGCCTTGCGCGCCCGCTTGCCCTGACCAGCAATCTCTTCTAAGGAAGGAGGTAAGTGATTATTCAGTTGGCAAGGGTGATATATGACTAACTAGTCTTCTCTTGCGATTTCAGTTTCGCCGTGCGAGCGCTTGAACGTGCTGGACAAGCCGTTCAACGTTCATTCTCTGGCGCGGTGACACGAGATGGACTTACGCTTGTTAGCGGCGGCAAGACGCTCAGCCTCCTCGGCGAGGAAGTCCTCGTGATTGGCCTCGAGCATGGCGTCGGCGAAGGAGTCACGCCTCTTGCGAGAGGAGGTGTTCGACGACTTGTGCTCAACGTCTTCCTCGACGTCGCTAGCGCTGGGAGCAGGCTTCTGAGAGCGAGTGGAAGGTGGCATTAGTGCGAACGGTGGTGGTAGAGGTAAGAGGCGGGTCCGCGTCGCGTCTGAGTCTTCCGCTCATTCGGAGTTCCAGGGCCACCCCAAACGCCTCGAGCGACACGCGTCCGTCGGTCAATTTGTTACGCGAGCGCGGCTGTACCTTTCGACTCTCGTGGTCTACAGCATGCATGGACTCCTACGATACGCTCTAGCTTTTGTGCTCTCTCTCTTGGATCAGCCTATCGTCTCGGTGTACACCCTTCACTACGGTCTTTACTATATCATTCTGGGACTTAAGCTCGTTCTACCTCCTATTATTACCGCGCTCGCCTGGCTCCCACACCCCATACGGCTAATCTACTTCATACTTCGCCAAGTGTTCACCGACCCAGTCCTCTGTGTGCTAGAGATCGTATCTTGCATACTTACAATTCTCGTCCTCTTCAAATCATACGGCTATTATCGAGCCCCGAGACAAAGCCGAATTGAGAAGCGCCATCCAGCGTGCAACATCTTCGTCATTGGAACACGCGTTAAAGTCGCCGTTCTTCGTAAGTGAATGGTTGCTTTTCACCTTTGGTGCCAGATTTTAAAGTCCCCTCAGAGGCGCCGCCTACCGCTACTACGTCCTGGCTCGTCAACAAGCTCGAGAGTCGCAAACTCATCCTCGGCTTCCGCGGGGATACTCGCCTTTCATACGAGCTCATTCTCCATCCTGGAGACGGTTCTCGCCCTCGTCCCCTAGACCTACTTCATGACGGAAGT